TGATGTTGGATGTTACAGGGACTGTAATAAATACAGATGCAGATCCCACTGTTCTGGTTGCATAAAAAAGTAAACTTTTTAAACTCACATGTTATGCACATGGTGGCGTTTTCTTTATACTGTGACAGTTTTCCTAAAATTAGATTAAAAAAAATCTCCATATATTATTTGCAATATCGCAATCGTAATATTGAATTGTAACCCCTGTATTGTGATACGTATCATATCGCTAGATTCTCGCCATTACACACTCAACCTTCCAAAATGGCACTGTGAGAGTCTCTAGGGACTGTAAGGTACAACGGGAGGGTTAAGTGACTGTAAGCCGTCCCCGAGCTAGCAGCTAGCAACTTGGCTCAACCGTGCTAACTGTGCTTATCACATTTGGCCGTTCGAGCTACAGTGAACCCACGTGTGTGGAACCCACATTATGTTTTAATATTTAGCAGCTGCGAGCATCCATTTAATTTGATTTCACATGCTGGTATAAGTGTAAACACATTGCATACTTGTGTGCATGAGGGACACAGTCATTGTTTGTGTTTGTGTCAGTGTTATTACCGTGACTACACTGCTGCACACATATGAGATTGTAGCCTACCAAATCCAGAACACTTTGGCTTTACTTCTTTTGCAAAGTCTGACCAGAAGGCAAAAACCCAGGACTGAATCAAATGTGATGGTCGTGTGTAATATTATCCTTTATTTTTATTTGACTTTTTTTATTTTTTTATTTGACTGCATCTGTAATACATTGAATAGTTGATCATAAAAAAGCAGCAATGATAGACAGACAATGAGGAATAATAAGGAATAATGAGGCTGGATATGTGACTGTTGCATTAGTAGTTGATTATTAATCGTAATAGCAGTAGTAGTGTCCCTGGCTACAATATCACACTCTATTGTTTCCTGATTAAATGCTGTTTCAGAGTCTTTTTCATCCTGCCACTACTAAATTACTGAGGGCAGCACAGTCAATACTTGTCTTTCTTTTAATATCTTATTTTCACTTTAAATATATTTGCAGTTCAAAAGTTCATTCTTGACTTTGGGAACAGTATGTGTGACAAAATAATCTCACATACTAGCTTTCACTTAGTTTTCATCTGCATCTTACTGTCTTGATCTGTAAATGGAATGTGTTGTTGGATCAGGACATAAAACAGGGAGGAACTGCTTAAAACGTCCAGAAATTCCAAAAGCAGATTTTTTCCTAACTTATTCAAAGTATTCAGAAAAGTATTTTTAGATAAAAACAAATTATGTACAAAATCCAGTAAAAAGGGAAAAAGATAAACAAAAACCCCAAACAAAACTGAGTTGAGTTAACTGTACATTAAATATGTATATACTCACACGTAAAGATATACGTAATAGATACATTTACTGATAGGTCACATCAGCCTGAGTAATTCCTGAGCAGCAGATATGTCAGTAGATATTTGTAGGGACTCGGGACA